AAAAAAGCCTTATATTTCTTACTAGTTTACAAAGAATTGAAAAATAAAAAGATTGGTTTTACGTAATAAGATTTCCTTTGCTTTACGTCCTACTCAGTTAACGTTGCTTGTAGTAAGAACCCCTCGCGTTATACGAAGGTGAAGGCCTCCTCTAGTGCTTTCCATTTGTCTCTGTTCTTGGCGATATCTATCCAATGTTTGCCAGCCACTTGGATTATGTCGTCTGTCCACCGCGCGTATGGTCTACCTCTTTTTCTCGTGCCCCCTGGGCCTGGCCAAGATGTTAGGAGGGAAGTCCACCGGTTATCTGCATACCTAGCTATGTGGCCAGCCCAACGCCATTTTAGTTTCATCGAGTGTCCTAACGCGTCGGTGATCTTGGTTTTTTCCCTTATGGTTTTGTGAGATATCTTTTGAATCCTTCTGATGTTTAGGATGCTTCTCTCCATGCTTCTTTGGCATGATCTGACTTTCGTTTTTACTTTGTGTGTGAACAACCAGGTTTGGCACGCGTATGTTAGGGAAGGGAGTATGCAGCTGTCCATAACTTTTTGTTTTATTGTTATTTTTTTTTTGCTTTTCATGACCTCCTTAAGAATCCAGAACTTTTTTTTTAGAATTTAGGTATTACCAATACTAAATAGGTGCCAATGAATTTACCGCATGATTTAACAACAAATCCAATAATTAGCGCTCTCGACACAGAATGTTAATATACGAGCAACAATTATAACGTAAGTATAACACGTGAAATTCAGTGTAATTTATGTTCTATTTTTTACCTAATTGGGTTTGAAGTCTGTAATTATTTTTTTTATGCTTTGAATAATTAGTTTGCTACAATCTTCAATCTATACACGTTATTAACTACGGTAAAGTTGAAGAGATTTCTTTAGCTGTTTCTTAGACGAGTCTTTGAACATCCGAACGTCCTATCCGATTTGGAAAGGCAGTTAGTAAACGACAATATTTTTCTTGAAAATGATTATAATCTACATATCTTCTTACTACTAATTTTAAAAGCTATGCAGTGATATTGATGAATAATAATAAATCAGTAGAACAACAACTATTCAACAACTTGCTGAAACATTTTCTAAAGTATCTCCGTCAACACAAAATTGTCAAAAACCGAGATAATTATAAACTTGAACTTGAAAATAAACTTAAAAAACGCATACCATATGATGCAATAGCTAATACCCATTAGTATTAGTAGTCATATGTATTCTGATATCATAATAATTATAATACAATTTCGTAATAATCAATATTGGTTAAAAACCTTATTTTAATGGTTAATTACCTGCTTAATGACAACGTTTCATGTATTAACATCGCTCGTAAAACAAACTAATAGAAATTTGAGATCAACACTTATCTTGTTACGTAAGAATTATAATTTGTAAGGGTCTCAGCAGACTAGAGCGTAACGTGTAAGAGCGTAGAGTTGACCGTTTGATTCAGTAATATTTGTGTGATGTAGTCTGTGAAATACTTATCTAATTCTAATTACAAAAAATAAATAAAGGCTTTTTATGTTCTATTGTATAACTAAACTTAAATATGTTTTCTTTATCTATAAACTAAAAACGAGAAGTTACTACTATTTAAAAATCTAATTTCAAAAAGGTTATTGTTCGTACTAAAAATGTTTTACTAAAAAATTGTAAGTAGCTGTCTCAATTCTTCAACAATTGATACGAAAACCTTAACAAAATTTCAAAGACGTAACAATTCCTACACCTTAGATGAATTTCTGCCAATGAAAGTATAATATGTACAATGTTAAGTACTTTGTAGTAAGTCATAACGTTATTTAGTAAGTCACTAAAATGATAAGTATGTGAATAAAGCAGAGAAATAATAATAATATGTTAAGAGAAATATATGTGTTATCCTAGTTGTAAGCAATTGTAACATTTAACTTTGCATGCCGAAAACAGTAGGCGATGTAGGATGTGGCACTATTTTTTATTATAACTATTATCACCTGCAATTACCATACTTCGTGCAAATAAACATTCTTATTCTAAACTTAATATCATTAAAAAATTTAAAACAAAAAAGAAACGTCGCAACAGTAACCGCACATATGAAACGACACCCTAATACCATCGGATTCACTTAACAAGTGCATCAGGCCCATAACGGCAGGTAATTCTAATAACTTCCTAATACGAAGGAGAAAGCAGATGACAGTACACCATTAAAAGTGACGCAACGTCATATAAGTGTCACTCAGATAAAGGGCAGGAGGAAATACTTGTACTTGTGTAATAATAGTGGCCTTCATTTATATTATGTTGTAGAAAGGGGCATAATAATGCATTGAAAGGTGTTGTTTTTGGATGAACTTCCGTTCAACTTTTTTGTATAAGTCTAGATTATAGGGGAGATGGAAATTTTCATGGTTCAATTAAATAATCTCTATTTTATGATTTTGCTGGTCTAGACCAGCAAAATCATAAAATAGAGTCAGGTCAGGTCAGGAGAATCAGCCACTTCTAGCCAGCTACTAGTAGCTGGCTAGAAGTGGCTGGTTGGTGTGGCGGCTGGCAATTGGCTGCTGCGCAACCTGTCTCGGTTTTGATACCCGCACGGAGCAACTCTTTGTGTAATTCACAAATTGTTGTTCCTGGTCCGAGTGTCATGTGCATGTGAACTTGTATGTTTGGAAACGCACTCACGATACAGGAGAAAATCCTAGTGTGGGGCAACGATTTTTTTTTTTAAATTAAGGAAGTAGATGTAATTTGCTAAGGTCTTGGGATGAGTACACAAATGAGAAATCATTTATACTCATTCGTAAAGTTTCCTAATTTCTACTTATTCAGACTAGATACTAGCTGCACACATAGAAATAAATTGAATGAAAAAATGATTATCGCAATTTCATATTCACATACAGTAGAAAATCCTAGTAATATTTGGTAACAATTGTGGAAATATGTTTCTAAACAACTCCACTCATTTAATTAAGTTCATAAAACTTTCTATTAGATAAGTTATCATAAACCCTTCACGGAATTATCTCCAAAATATTATCTCTACGCTCAGTTTATCTGTGAAACCCTCTAAAACTCATGTAACACATCCAGTTGATAGAAATAAACTAGTAAGTAACACTTCAGCTTTTATCATTCCCATACGGTGGATGAACACCGATCCGTATTATTTAGATAAGGCTTGATATCTCGGAGAAAGTAGAGAGGATACCTTCACTATATTATCAAAAAAAGGAAAGATGGATGAAGATTTCCAGATACTTCGAAATGAACTTTATGAACCGACTTGAAACCTTATCAGGTTAAAATCTTCGAATTTTCTTCGCTACTAGGAAGATATAAAGTGGCATATTTATGTTACCACTTTAGGAAATCTGTTCTGAGAAAATACTTAGATAGTCGATTAACTCTGATATGTCGATAAACGTTCAATACTTATCTTAATTTTCGAATTGAGATCTATGAACTTGAATTCTGAACCGATAGAAAAAAATACGTTGGAAGACCACAATTTATGTGGAAAGACAATGTGCATAAGGCACAAAATGAAACTAAGGAGTCTACACTAGATTAAAAATCTTGAAGAAAGCCTTAACGAATGTGTTGGAAAAGGGCATAAATCGTGATGTGGAAAGTTCTCAGGCTGAAGAACCCGAGCTTATTTCAAAAATAATCATCTTCTTTCTTATCTATTCTTACCTCTATGACATCTTTAAGCATAAACCGTCTACGCCGGCGCCGTCTTCTTGGAGCTGGCTCCGAGTCTCTTTCAATACCCTCGTCGTCTGTATCCGCCCGACCGCATTCTGATGTCTCTGAACCTTCGGATAGTGCACCGCATTCTTCGTCATCATCTGCAAAAGGAAAATATACTTTAAGTTATTGACGATAAAGGTTAATATGTGAAGAGGTTAGAGAAACCACAAAAAAAAATCTGCGTCGTTGGCCGACTGGTCGCAAGTGCGACTGCCGGGCAAGGGGTCTCGGGTTCAATTCCCAGGTCGAGCAAAGTATTATTGGTTTTTTTTTAATTCTCAGTAGTAGCACGGAGTCTGAAATTGTGCCCGGTATAGAGGGCAATAGGCTCACCCCCTATTACATGGGACTCAAAACATAAATAGTGAAAAGTGGGTATTACATTGTACAGTGGCATTAAGTGGCGTAATGTGCACCTCTGCTTACCCCTTCGGGAATAAAAGGCGCGATTTTATGTTATTACAAAAAACTTTGCCTTGATACAAACCTGTCTAATCAGTATTTTAGTTACATAAGTTATGGAATGTTCTAATCGTGTAAATAAGATAGCCAGACTCTATGTGTGGTCGTTAGTTTGTTACATACTATAATCACGACCCGTCAATAGCGACAATCGACACTGCATCGACGGCGTCAACGCGTAACGACGTAGTTGCGCAAGCGCATATTTGCGAGCTTTGACTCGCCGCTGACCAATCACCGTTTAGGCGCTTGACTCTTGACATTGGACATGGATTATGTGTCAATGGTCAGTTTAACATAGGGTTGTCAAATTTTTCTATTTACGATTTGGTGTGGTGTGATACTTTCATTAAACTACTAAACTTTCATGACACAGAATCTAAGGGTTGAATTAATTATGTCAATACGGCATAACGGCATTAAAAGAAGAACCTTTTAAACAGATATTTATCTACCTAGGTGCTGATAATGGGTATGGACCAAATAAATAACTTATCCCCAACCAGGTAATTATAACCGGAACGTATATTTGACATTAAAGTGACAACCCTACCGATGAGAGCTATGTACGAGTGGATATCACGATTTTATAGATAATATAATTTAATTGAGTAGCTCGTGGGCGAGTAAGAGCTTTCATTAAGTGTTCGGTAATAATAAAATAGAGGATTACCCTGTAAGTACTTATTTTATGATAAAGTTTTAATTGGAAAATACATAACATAACATTACACCTTGTTATCCCTGAAGGGATAGGCAGAGGTGCACATTACTGTGTACAGTGGCATTAAGTGCCGTAATGTGCAAACATAACAATGTTATGAAAAGTGGGTGTTACATTGTAATGTAACACCCACTTTTCACTATTTCTGTTATCGAGTCCCATGTAATAGGGGGTGAGCCTATTGCCATATACGGAGCACATTTCCAGGCTCCGTGCTACTACTGAGATTTTTAAAAACCCAGAAATACTTTGCCCGACCCTGTAATCGAACCCGAGACCCCTGGCCCGGCAGTCGCACTTGCGACCACTCGGCCAACGAGGTAGTTTTAATTGGAAAATAATACTGTTATAGGTAACTAAAAAAAATAATATAATTTATCACTATCTTGCTTTAATTAATGGTAGATATACATTAATTAATTATTACAATTCAAATACCTCTAGTACCTATACGATTCCAAAATTAAGTCCAAAACTTATACAAATCAGTAACCTATATAAACTTAACAAATAATTAGACGTCAACAGCATTTACACACAAATACTACAAAAAAAAAACATCAGCTACCAAGATTCACCCTTCATCATTGGCCAGTACGTAATTATCACATGACATTACAAAAAAAAAAAAATACGAAACTGGACCAGTTTGGAATAAAAGCGAGAAGGTTCAAGCAACGGAATTGATGTGGAACTATCAATCAGAAACATACAATGGCTCCCGACAGTTTACTACATCTTTCGTAAACACTTCTTGAGATAAATGCCTTGTTAAGGTTGTTTTCCAGACGAAGTTTAGCTATGAGATTTTTATAGTGATTTTGAGTAAGTGTCTATTATCATGATATCGTGCATATTATTTCGCTAACACTATTGCAGAAATGTACATTAAGTCCATTCACAAACTTATCTGATATCTACCAATAGTGAAAACACAAGTAAGTAATCATTTTTCAAGAACTTCTATTGCTAATGTAACTATCTTTTAATCACCAAACTTGGCGAACTCCGATTCGCCACCAGATGGCTTCGTTTTATGTAACATTTCGTTTGGTGATTAAAAGATGAAGGAAAACATTTTTTCCTGAATTTTCTTTTCTATAAACCTCACGGAGCCTAAGACCTTTCCAACGAATGCAAAACCGTGGAAATCGCTTCGTGCGTTCTGGAGTTATAGCGTCAGGAAGGAAATCCCGACACATTTTTATATAGTAGATGATGAAGAGGAAGACAGCGATATGGCGACACATGTCAAATGACAGCTCACGAACATATCGATGAAAACAAATCAACGAATGACGTCACAACTGGATTTTGTAACATAGCACATGTGAAGTTTACATGCGAATTAACTCGGATAGAAAATTCCAACAAACAACTGTTGGGCAGAAAGCCCGCTAGACACGATCGTCTGGTCGGAAGATCCTCCTTTTCCGATCTTAGGTAGGTACTATACTCTTTGTTCCCAAAAGCGATATGCAAACATAACAATGTTATTTTATTGAATCGTGTTTATCATTACATTACAGCACCAGAAGTAGGAACTTCCGCGATCACTTTCAATCTGAACATTGTCTACCTAAGTGACTGGACTCAACAGTACAATGTTCAAGAAATAGTTACCATAGAAACTCATTATACATTCTCTTCCCTTTCTGTTAATTATTTCTAGAGCATAATTAACGACGGTGTGAGACAATTCCACTTTGTATTTTAAACATTCAACGGTTTCCGTTATCTTATTTCATTACTTTTCTCTTAATCACAAAGCATTGTCGTGGACATGGTGCCTTCAATAAAACCTATTCAAATAAAAAAAAAATACCGCTGAATATTCATAACATGGTATTTAAAAAAAAAACCCAGACATTCATATATAATAATGTATCTAGATGATGTTTTAAGTGTCAAAATTTATCAGTCCACGTTTTATGATGTGAGATCGATCCTCGTCTAATCTGAAGTACCCCTAAACTAAGAAATATATAGAGCTGTTATAAACTTTACTATTTTCTATAGTGGACCATAAAAGAAACAATAGTAAGCTATAAGTGGCAATCACCATAGTGAACTTCCAAAATAATCTGATGGATGTGAAATTTAACAGGTATCATTCGTCAGGGGGAACTTTTTGAACTTTTATGAACGATGCTACTGATTGCTTTGTTAGTTTACAATTGATTGCCATGAATTTACTAAACGAAACAATATGGCCGGGCATCAATCAGACGACACCCGAAATTATCGAGAGGTGCTTAATCGTATTTTTTTGTAAAGCTTCTACTGAACTTAACTAAATAGGTTCCATCCTCAATTACTAACACATCAACAACGACTAAAATTATGATGCTATTAAGACAAATTCACAAAGACGACATGCTAATACCAGGGTGTCATGACTCAGAGAGAGCTAATAGCAATAAATAGACGCGAATTCGTTACGCAAGCTTCTCAGACGTCTAGTAGCATGGATAAGTATGCGTAGATTTATTCGCTCGAGAGCGCTCGGCGCCAATTGTGACGACATAGAGAGCATGAGCTTATTACAGCCTCGTGTTATGAATTCCTGGTACAGCGATGTTGTGACTATATGACTTTATGTAAATTATGCTCTATTTCTGATTACAATTTCAAGACGTTTGAAGTGCATTCGCTTCAGCATTATTAGTTACCTACTGCACAAAATTATGCCTGTAGTTCCTAACGAAGAAGTTGAAGGTCTAGTCGAATATTAACTCAATTTATCTACAGTTTTGTTTTTTAAAAGACAACCACATATCGGCACATAGTTACCTTCAACTTGGAAAAAACTTAAGGAATTCAATTAACTTTCCTTAACAAAATCCACATGACGTAAAGAAACAAAACGTTCTTTCTTGGAACTGAACAAACTATTAAACGAACGGCAGACAAGACAAAAAGCAGTTAGTTTCGCAGTCGGAAACATCTGTAGACTGTTGTAGGTAATAGTTTCCATGTAATAGTTGGTTGTAATCGACAAACTTGCATGTATCGTGGGAGATACGGACTGTTAACGGTCCGTGCGTTTTGTGTTCTCTCGTAGATAAGCTCCGCTTCTCAGGACTGCGTGTGCCTTGTTATCTAGAACCCTGTATGTTTTATAGGCAGACGTTTTGTATTTTCTTCCTGATGTGGACTTTGTGTATCTTTTTGATTTAATGTGTTTGTTAGAATGTGTACCGTACACAAAGTATACTTAAAGTCGATTAAGTATTATGAATCTGTAGATTAAAATGTGTTAACTTTGACCCATTTCGTTTAATAGTCATCAATATGAAGGCACAACTTAGGGAAAACTCAATACGTGACAGTAAAGGACTTCGTACTCAAACCTTCATTCGTAACCACTTATCGAGATATAATTAGTATCAGATGCTTTTATTATTTTTGTTATCATTGTGGAAAAGACATTATAACATTAGTGTTTACTGTAGGTATTAGTAGTATACTTGAACCTTATTAAGCAAATTCCGTAGTAGGAAATATCAAAAAACCTATCTTTCATCTATCACTTTTCTCCAGTGACGTAACTCCCAGGTGACGTAGATGAGTCTTTAAAATCATCCAATGAGTTCACCTTGGGTAAGGCGAGAGGGATTGTTAGACTCCTAATGACTAAAAACCACCCCGGTCCTACTCCTACTCTTTGAGGTGGAACCCCAGCAATCCGTTGAGTCTTGCGAGGTTCCGTAGAGGATGAGCCTATGGGCGCGTGCCATATTTTTGTCATTTTGTATTGTTTTAACCCTTTGAGTACCGTCATTATAGACACAATTAAAGAACAACAGGTTGCGGTCACCGGTTTCCTCGCGGTGTTTGACAGTTTAAGTTACAATTGTGTTTTATTGTCAGCTTTTAATTTAATTTAATTTAGATTTTTAATTTTTATTG